GAGGTTTTAGTGGAATACTTTTACGAGGAGAACTTGATTGGTTTAATAGAAACATTCATTTATTAAGCAATTCTACCAGTGATCATTTATTTGTACTTTTTGTTTATAACACTTTTTTACGCGCAACTTTCTGTTTGTGTTGCTGTCATCTTTGCTGTAGCTGCTCTTTAATTTCGCCCACTTTCCTGGTATAATTTTGGTGTTCTTTCGATTCCACGAAATCACCAGCAAATATATTCTTTAACGCTGGACTTATTTATCTTCTCAGTAACGGATTCGTAATTGGTATTTAGTGGTCATCATAGTCAATCTTGACTCGACCCACTCACTAAAAGTGTTGAAATAACCTGTCCCTTTACGGGAGCGAATCGATATGCCTTTTTCTCGAATATTCTTCTTTCTCCTCATTTAAAGTATCTTGAGTTAAGTTGCCAGTAGGTTCACACATTTTCACCAGTTTCGACTGTATTATTGTCAGCAATAATCCACTCTTGAAAAACATCATTTCAGGTGTTTTCAACATTCAGAACATCATAGCCACTAGACGAATAGATAGATCGCATTATTAGTGTTAGTTATTTCGTTATGGATGATGACGCTACACACAACAAACAATTATTTCCTATTAAATCTGGAAGATTCTCGAAAGACAACAAAGAGTGAATATCGAAACTGTCTAGCACTCTTTATAATGGAAGGCTCTGCTAATTTTACACAGATACTTTACTCAAAATACAACAACTATCACCTTTTAGTGTTTAACTTTTACGAAGAAAATACGATTGGTTCAATAGAAACGTTCAATAATGTAACCAATTGTACCAGTGGAGATTTTGCCGAATATGTTGCTTATTCGTATCTTTGTATCACTATTTGGCCCAAAGCGGTAGCCGTCTTGTCTTCCCTACTCTGTACCTTTCTCCTTTTTTCTCTGGCACCATTTCGGTAATATTTCGATACCACAAAATCACCAGCAAACATACTCACTTCATCTAGACAATCGCAGCCTCGTTTCGTAATCAGTCACTACGGGTTGACGCTTGAGACGTGTTCGTCGTCATCCACGACCCGAACATCCATGTAAAATGCAACAACTGCATAATCCACTGATATACGGCCGTTAAAGCTGTCATTCATGCTTAATAACATATGTCATGTCCCAAAAAATATTCCATTATCTGTAAATTCTTCAATACTACAATATGCATGTACATTGCCAACGCAAATGATCCGCGTTGATAACTGTGCACCAACTGCGTTAAGAAGGAGATGTTTTGACCTCCTGTATTAAGCTGCTGTGACATTTCTCTCATCATATTTAAATTCAATTACGCTATCATGATAACAAGGTGTATAAATGGGATAAATAAACTGAGTAGGCAACAATACACGGTAGTATTAGCAGTTAACAGATGTAAAACGCCAGACCATTACTGCATGCGCTAGTTCATTGCATGCACTTAAAATATGCGCGCTAAATATTGTTGGCTGTTCGACGTTCGTCGATATAAATGTTGGGTGATTTGATGACATTCCGGTGACGTTTTGCTGGCCTTACATGACTCTTCCCTAAACTCTAAGAGGTAAGTGAGTCAGTACCAAGCTTGTTAATGGTTATCTCGCGTCCAGTATTGCCAGAAATGCGTAAGAATGCTCTCAGTATTGAGAGGCCGTAAGATGAATCACAAAGACCCGGTATAATTTGATCAAGAGACAGTAAGTAAAACCAAATATGAAAGTTTTGAATGTGTTGATGCACTTAAAAATGACCTAGTATCTGTTTGAAAGCAAAACAATCGACAATAAGATTAACAAGGATTAATTTTTGCTTTCTGAGTTTTCATATATGTGGTACTGAAATGAGGAGCGTCGAAAAGTGATTAAGTTCTCAGGTAAGCAACATGAGGTTTTATAATTACCACGACACTATAGTGATTGTGCGATAATTTCATTACGTCTTGATTTTCTCACTGTCATCCGCCTATCGCAAATGTTAGTCGATACTGTCTGCAGTTTTCTATGTATAGGTTTCAAATTATAATCAAATATAACTAAGTGCACGGAACTATAATCACGTTTTTATAATACTACGCTAATGATCACTTTGTAGTCAGATGATTGTTACATTAATCATTACCGGTCGTAGATTATAGACGCAAACCATAATAACACGATGAAACTGTCTATACACTATGATATACTGTGAGTGCGGAATATTAATTCGGTAATTGAAAGGAAAATCTGAGACAGAATATATGACATCAACGACTGTAAATCTGGCTTTACTATGATGATTTCAGTCTGAAACATTGCATGTTTCGGACTAGATGGGGAGTCGTCTTTCGTCCTCAAAAGATCCGCTCGGCCACGTAAGCTGATGATTTGCAGGAATGAACATGTCGTTCGACCACCGACTTGACTAAACAGGTCGTGGGTGGTTAAGTATATTTGAAGTTGACAGATATGAAATTATCATCTGTTAGATAACAGCCATAAAGAATTATTACTTCGTATCAAAACAGTTCTACATATCAGTTGACTGACGGAGTTCGTTCTAAGGGAGGTATTGATTGTTCGAAACATGTTTAACGGCTATTAAGTCTGAAAAGTGATATAGCTTAATGCTGAAAATCCGGATGAACTAGATCAGATAATCTCAGTGGTTCTTCTCCGGACGCGTTAAACAATTTACTACTTTCTAGTAGACCAGCTTTTTATGGCGCGTGATGCTGTTCAATTGAGTCTTGATGTTGAAATAACTGTATACTGAAAATGCAACGCTTGTTTGTGCATCGTGTTATTTCGAAATACTTAACTTTTGACGTGGAAACTAAATAATCATGCTACTTTCAGTGTATGGTATTGTCTCAGAAAATTATAATCGCTGTACATTTTGTGAACTTTCGTTAAGGTATGATAAGTTTACTAAGCAGAATTGTTACTAAGACTATTGTTGGGTGCGTAAAAATTCTATTCTATTCTAAGATTATTGCACATTAATCATCCCAAATTGGGCTTCGTGTAAGCAACTGACCTTCCTACTTTCTCTACTTCATTGGTTTCGTTATGTGCAGACCATATCAAGATATGGACAGTGATAAGATATGAAAGCGACGGTGTACAGCATCAGAATGTCTTACAAAAATATTTGAATGATTCAAAGTTTGGCAGAAGCCGTTAAGCGGCTTCAAATGCATCATGATCCCCATGGATCACCAAGAGACAAATAAATACAGGGTGAATAACAATGGGCTATCTGTTATCTAGACGCGCAAGGATCTAGATGTCGTCATTGACCAAAAGTTGAAAACTACTATAATTTGTCGTGCAATAACCTCCAAAGGCTTCATCCAACATACCCATTATCTTCTCCACGAAATAGCATAGACCGATTGATTTCCTTGCCCTTGGATCTTGATCATTCGGTACGGTTCCAGGTGTTCTGTAGTGTCCAATGAATGGGTGTCTTGCAACTCGACTGTCTAATTCTAGTCAGTTGGCAGTTAGTTATGAGTTTGTATGTCTCGGGATTTGAATGGAAATGTTTATTTCAGGGCAGTAGGGTTTCTAGATACTAGCAGCTATCACATTACCAGACCGGAGATTAGTTAGTTGCAATGTGGAGAATAATAAGGAGAAAATTCTAATGTTATTATGAATAAGATTTCAGAACTAAGTAAATCAATATATAATTTAGTTTATTAATTGGTAGTGAAGATTTTGATTGAGGACCAAATTTTAAGCAAGGGATACGAATCAGAGATAATTGGCGAGATAGATTAATTGAGTGTGATGTGGAGATGGCAATGATAACAACTAGCAGGTCTGAAGATATGCATCATGAACAGCTTTTCCAAGAGGGAGATGATAGTCCGTTTGTGAGTACGTGATGATCAAGTCTCTTCTTAAAGCTGTCTAATGAGAGGGCTGTGAGAGAGCATTCCAATTTGCGACAACTCGCAATGAGAAAAAGTGTGCACGAATCTGAGTATTCGCTCTTTGATGTGCAATTTTACGAGGATTGCTTCAAGGGAAGCGGTGTTGATGCATTGGCAAGATGCTCACGTTGAGATGGTTTGGTGTGCTTAATATGTTGTAAGCCATAATCAGGTCACTTCTGGCCCTCCTGTAACTCGGTGGGAATAATCCCAAGTGCTGGAGTCTATTTCCTTAAGGTTTATTCTACAACCCTATCACGCGCTTCGTTGATTATCTCTGCGGCTCAATCCTGGAGATGTATGTCCCTCTTAAGCAGAGGGCGAGCGATGACGTTTTGAACATACAAGTGTGGGCGCGCGTATGACTCGAATATCATTAAGAATAATTCTTGGGTGATAGCAACAATTTGTCTTCGCATAAATTGAATAGTCGCATATGCTTTGGCTCAGTTCCCAACATAGTTCGGGCTCATGTGGCGTCATTCTGTGGTTATTAAACAGCAATAACCCTTAGAACTATACATAGAGACTTAGACCAAGCAGATGCTATGATATTTTCGATTTTTGATAGTGTGTTTGTTCGTCCTAAACTTCAGTGTTGTATACAGGCCATTAGCATCTGTCTGTAAAAGACAGTAAGCTGCTGAGGAACTTTCTTCCTCCTAACCTAATGGCATTCTTATTAGACGCTAATGACTAAACACAACGCTTTACAACGTTAGCTTACGCTCCTTCTGTTTGTTTTATATTTGTTTATTTATTCTGTTTGTTTGAACTTGTTTCATATTACATTCTGGCACTTTTTCAAAATTCATTTTAGTTTCAGCTATGTCTGGAGTGAGTTTATTAATCATTTAAAAACACACGCTTCATCATAAAACTCAGGCAGATTTCAATGTGAAGAATAATAATCTATCTTTGGGTTTTCATTGATAGACTAGTGTTCTTGTATAAGTGTCTCTGAAAGTAAATTTCTAACTCAATACGATCCATTTTTTATTAAAGGCATAAAGCATTGTCGATTCCTGAACTAGTTGACTAAGCGCTTTTTATGTCACATTACACTCTTTTCAAAACATCTAGATTTTGACCGTTTAATAAGGCTAGAGTACTGTAGATAAATCCTAAAACTATCATCGAGTTTTTCAGCAGACCTTTATAATTCTCATTAATTGAACTGATAATGGAAGGCTTGTTTAACTACTGTCGTTCATAAGAAAACACCAGTGTTTTCTTGACTAATCGTTTTCGTTTATCTGGTTATGATGATGAACACATAACATATTGAAAGCCCTAAGCATCACTTTCGTGCCAGTATCTTAATACCTCGACCTTATATAGTAAAGATATTTTCCACCTAGAAAGCTATTTATTTCGTTCACAGACAGATGGCCCGAACGATTCTTAGTATTAAAAATTAGAGGCTAATTTGGAACTGTTATTTCAAAGCAAAGATCGGAAATGACTATCATAAGTTTAAAATTGATCGACTTCTGTGAAACACTAACATTTAACTGATTTGAATGGAAACTATTAGATTAACGATGAAGTTAATTACTGTTTCTTTTGTGGAATTTAAAGGAAATTATAAAAAGGTATAGTTCCATTATGTAGTTCCATTTCACATCGGTAAGTGATGCAAAAGTGGTCCACCAATAACAGCTGTGTTACATGGAATACATTGTTCAGATATCGGGTCAGATTCATACTAGACTACATTTGAATACTAATCCGATTGCAATTATTATTACCTCCGGTTGCTGAATTATCGTTTTTGGAAACCTTAGAATCACCTTTTCGTTGATCTTTAAGGGATACTTTTTACGTAAATCTACTTCATTATATAAATACACTTAGAGGTGAGGTGACAAACCCTATGTTACCAGTAATAGATAGCACTTGCTCCAGAAACACTTATGCTTACTTCATCCACGGCTATGCAAACATTTACAAAACGCCTAGAATCAACTACGAATAGGCAGAAAAATTGATGTTAGAAAGAAATTACAGCTGTCTGTTCATTGTGTTATTCACAGCACCTGATTTTTCGGTTATTCTAAAACTAGTCACAGTTTTAAAAGTGGTAATAAAACAACAAATTACAATGATCTTGATAATATTTTATTTTGAACATCACTTAATTACTTATTTTTCGTTAGATAGAACACCAAGTTGTGAACACTGAAAGCTGTGGAAAACTTAATGTATTTATACAGGTGAAAACATTTATCTTGCAAGTAAATATTCCATCAACAGGGCCCACGCAATACAAAAGTTGCTTTCCTGACAGTTCACGACCTTGGATGCAATCGTATGCTTAAATTTTAACATGATTTCTAATGCATTAACCAATGCAGATAATGAAATGGTTAATTTTCTTGCACATGAATCCATGGAACCTATGGTTAATCGCTGCACATGGGTACACGTAGATGTTCCAGGACAAGGAGATGGAGAATCGGATTTACCCTCCGAGTAAGTCATTTAACTACAAACATGTCGCTAGTTTTTACATTATCACTTGATGGTACTGACATATGAAGTTATTTTGTGTAAAATTCTGTAGGTTTAAGATATCTACAATTTATAGCAAATCTTATGTCATGACTAAGCATAAAATGATCACAAAATCTTCTAAGGTAAGTGAATCAACTTGTCTTTTGCTATTTATTCAGTTCTCAGTTTCAGATAGTGTAGTAGCTATGAAAGCCTGATCGCTTGTGCCCTAACTTAGAACCTCAGCTTATGGGTTAGAAGTATTTTGCTACGCTTGTATTCACAATGCGGTTAAAAAAGAAGCTATTTGCATGCAGTTTTGTTAACTACTGATGTTCTGTCTCCCTAGTTAATGGTTTCATAAATAAACTATTGCAATAAGTAATAATCAACTGAATCGGTGTCAAATACTGCTAAAAGATTGATTGTATCTATTAAACGATACCATAGCAAGGTAGGTATGCAATGCTTAAGTGAGCCAATCATTAAACCTGTATAAAAATAGCAATAGACTAGTTTTTTGTAAACATATGGCTTATTTAGTTAGCATTTACTAGAATATGCTAACATAGTCGGTAAAATAACTAACTGCCCCAAAAAGAGCTAGTGAACTGAATAGCAGTCTTTCTATGGATATTGCGGTTTTAAGGTGAATGAAGATTAGAGTTGTCTATTCTTAATTGTCTTTTTTGTGTTACTGATGTGTTTCGGGACCTTCGGAATGGAGTGTAAATTACAGTTATTGTTTATCCTTCAGAGCTATCACTGTTTATTTAAAGTTAAATAAGATATATGAAAAAAATGCCATTTCATAAGTTCGTGAAATATCGTTCTGATTCTGGACATAAGTTTTATGGCTGCCAATATTTATCAATAATGTATTTGTGTAAAGTTTATTGATATTCATATTAACCAATTTATGACATATGAAACTCACCTAACCAATAATTTTTCGATCTTACAAAAAGTATCATGATAAATCATTTTTATAAGTAACCTCTAAGAAATCAGATTTTATTCCATATACATTTTAATTGTATAAAGTTAATTTTGTTTTTAAAAAATGGATACTTTTACAACGTTGAACTATTTCAAACATCAATATTCTGTCGTTTGTTTTCAGCTATGCATTCCCATCAATTCAAAAACTTGCAGAAGGCATGAATGAAATATGCATTGCACTTAGGTAACTTTGACATTTCTATTAAAAATAAATAAATAAAACTAATCTTTTTTCTCATTATATTTTACTAGATTACAGTATGTTGTTGTTTTCGGTGAAGGAGCTGGAGCAAATATATTAGTTAGATTGGCGGTATGTACTTTAAAATATTGTAGTTATAGAAATTAATCATCTTCCAAAAAAGCAGATTTTCTGATTGATCTATTTTGTTTTTATTTTACTTACGTATATATTGTTATTATTTCAGATGTTAAGATATGATATTGTTTTGGGTGCCGTATTAATTCATTGTACTGGAACAACTGCAGGATTATCTGAAAGTTTGAAAGATAGAGTAAGAAGTTATGTATTTTTCTTTATATTGCTTGATGTTAATGTGTTTAAATGCATATAGTCGGTTTGACATGATTTACATTTCAATCAATGAACACGTTTATCAGTTGAAGGATTTTAACTATGAAACCCCTTTGAATTGAAGAAACTGATTTGCAGTAGTGTTATATTTCCATGACTTAAATGAACAACTATGGCCCCTCCAAGATTTGTTTAGACGGTTTAACACTATTTTAAAAAATATTGCAGATTTTTATACATAAACCTCAGTAAATAGCGTTCAAAATCACATTAATTTTGCTATCAAGCATTTTAAGGAGTCTAAAGTCATCTGCACACCAAAATTCGACCTAGATGGACTCTTGGAAATATAGTCATTAGATTTCAGCTTCCATGTTAGTGAATTTTCAAAGAGTTATAACAATTTCTATGCGTCTAAACTTGAATTTAATTCCCTGACTGCATTATTGAGACAATTACTTGTGATCTCCAGGAGTTGCTGACAAACTTGTAAGATAAAAACGGTGATGATTAACGTTGAAGACATTTGTCAATGACTAATAGTTATTCTTTACTGACGGAGAATGAGTTTCACAACCTTGAACATCTTGCATGTTGTACATTCGCCTTGGAGATCGACCTAAATTTATGAACAAGATTTTTCATTCATAAACTTCAGTGAACTGAAATTGAGATAAAAGCACTAAGATGTAAACCTATAAGACAAGGGAACTGGTTCTCGACTATAACTCTTAAGCCTGTGCATAGTTGCACTGATATCATTGATAAAACTGATGGCTCTGTAGGTAAGTTCATTTGTATTGATGGTTCGAATCTTACTATTAAGCCCCAAAGTAAACCTTAACTCTGGGATGCAGAGACATCTAGCTGATGAGTCTCAAGTAGGACTAATTGTGCATCTTGAACTCTACTGCTATCCACCATCCTCCTCTGTGTATCTAAGTGTTGGTTTTTATAAATAAATCTCGACAAGAAATGTTTAGGCATTTTAAATTCAATTAGCCTGATGCAGCATCTACATTCGCCTAGTACTTTAATAAAAGAGTTTACCAACCTCTGCTACAAAATAACGTTTTATTTCAAGTCTATTGCAGTATATTGAGCGGTTATCTACTCCTTATTATCATATGGCATTGAAATACAAGGTTTGAGCAGGTTTACGCGTAGCGTTAGAGTATTTTATTCGTTACTTGACTAATATCCAGTTTAATGTTACGATTTTCGGCAAAAATGCCACTTCGATTCATGGATCCACATATCTAATAGATATATCCGTACCATCTTCCTTCTTAGTACGCAAGCTAAATTATCAGAATTCTCTTTTCAAAATACTTGAAACCTATTTTAGTGGCATACTTATATTAGTGCTTGATCTTGTTTTAAACCACAAGTTTCTTCTCATTCTATACTTTACATTCTTTAATCTCATCCATTCCTACGGAAATATATATTTTTAATGATAGGAGGTATGGTGTTTTTATTCTTCCATCTCCACAGCTAATTATCATGTTAATATAAACATTTTTCAATAGGATAACTTGCGAGAAACTTATTAATGCCAGATATTCAATTCTCATGTACTAATTGACTGAAGGACAATAGGCTAATTTCTTAACAATAACACACTGTTTTGGCATATTCAACAACTTTAAATAACACTTCTGCATGCATTTGACTGACCTTTAAGTAGTTAAAAATGTCATATTTGTCCGGTCTTTTGAGAATGATCGAATTTCATCAGTCATCAATCTTTTAGGATTGTAATGAGGAGTAAAGAATGAGGAGTAAAAAATACAAAGCTTGGGTGAAACAGGATGTTTTCATTTATAGTTATGGAGATTAGTGTTTTTACACATAAAAATCATCAATCAATCATTGTTAGACCACCATTCGAAACCTGGAAACGTTGAACCGCCATCAGGTCCTCTAGTATGGGACTCATCATCAGTGCGCATCCACGACTCCTGCACCTCGTAGGATTCGAACCCAAGACCTTCAATCTGACATTTGAAAACCTAAGCTCTAGACCACAGGGCCGACATCCAACGGTGTTAATGTCTAATTCTGATCAATCTATAGATTTTGTGAGACCCCACCTATTTATCTTTGGTAGTTACAGCCTACAGCCAAGAAGGTTGAACTGCACTGGTCTAACCAATGACTGATTGATGATTTTAATGTGTAGAAATAAGATGTACTTATGACTGTCTCTAATCATCTAGGATAGTGATATCATGTATATTTTGGTTCTGTATCATATATATATGTGTTGATTCATTTGAGTGTTGTCATATAAAGCAATGTATACCCTTTGTTGACTTAAAATAATTTATATGTTATCTGTCAACTTCTGCATGGCGGTTTTGTTAATATTGAAAAGAGAAGCAAATCAATGAATAACAGTTTATAATTTCAAGTTGCCAATATTATTCAGGACCTCAGCTGACTAGTCTCCATTGTCATACATTTTTTTAGAAGATTGCTCTGTTACAAGTTTATAATACATGTTCTGTGACTTTGATACCTTTCTAACAGTAAAATGCCAGAGCTGAGATATGAGAGCATGTAGAGCTGATAAGTCTCAAGTAGCATGAAACTAGACTCCTGAATTTCACTGTTAGCCAGATACTAAAGTTACTAAAAGAAGTTTAATTCGAACTGAAAACATACATGTCACTTGTTAACAAGGCATATCTTTCAGGTCTCCGTAAAAACGTACAGTTTTCCAAAGTTCTGAAAAAGTTTCACTCCATTTTCTTGCAATAAATGTTACTTTTATTATTATTGTAAATGATATCGACTCTTGACTATGAATGATTTACGTAAACCAACTTACTTACTTACTTACGCCTATTATCCCCAATGGAGCATAGGCCGCTCACCAGTTTTCTCCAACCAACTCTGTCCTGAGCTCCCCTCTCCAGTTCTGTCCAATGTTTGTTCACTCCTCTCATATCTTTCTCTATTTCTCAGCTTAATGTGTTCCTTGGCCTTTTCCTTTTGCATTGAGGGTTCCATGTGAGGGCTTGTCTCGTGACGCAGTTGGGTGCTTTTAGTAGTGAGTGTCCTAACCATTTCCACCACTTCTTCCTGATTTCCTCCTTCACTGCAATCTGGTTAGTTCACTCCCGTAGTAGGTTTTTTTTTATATTGTCTGGCCAACGAATCCGAATTATTTTGCGTAGACAACTGTTCATAAATCCTACCAATGCCTATTTGGGCATGTTTGGACAGCATCAGTGCAACTCATTGTTTATGTGAAGCATTTTCCTCTTCATGACCAGAGTATAATAGCAGTTCCCCTGAAGCTAGTCTCAGTTGTCCTACCTGTGTCCAATGCGTTTCACTGATGCCGAGCACCTCGAGGTCGCATCTTTTCATTTCTGCCGCAACTTGAAATAGTCATCATCCAGTCTTCCACAATGTACCTAAAAACATGGTTGCTCTGGTTGTCAGAAGAGGCATCGGCCCCGTGACTTCCAAGAGAACTCGGCTCTTCCAACTCGCAGGGCAGACTTAAAATGGTTTGAATTATTTTTTCTGATTAGCGTTTTTTTGGCATGTTAGTTTTAGTTGTGATAAGGGCGCCAACTCCATGTCCAACCCCTCCTCCTTTATCTGGGCTTTGGACCGGCAGTAGCACCGGAAGGGACTACTGGCAGAGTTTTACATAAACTAAAGCAAGGCAACTTATAATCATTCATTTATAATACTTTAATACAACTAAAATTTATCTTAGCTGATTGATCCATTTTGAGAACAAAAAAAAAATAGAACTCATAACATATAATCATTACAAAACTATAGTCTAACTGACTATATATATATATATACAACACGAATTATTTAAATCTTAAATAAAATATGAGTTTGAAGATAAATTTCATTGGTAAAAGAGAATGAACAAATGAAAAAAACAAAAGGAGTTAGTAGTTATACAATGTAAATAATAAAACTATCTATCTATCTATCTCATCATTATCATCTTCATCATCATCGCCATTTCAAACTCTGTCTACATGCGAAATAAATAAAATCAATCATGAAAAAAGTAAAAAAAAAGAGATATAATTCCCCTCTTCTTTGTTCTTTCATCACTAATCTTAATTCTTTTTAATATTGTGAATATTTTGTAAAATTTCCGAGTAAATGAATAATGAGTTGGCTAAATGATCAAAAATACAATATACGGGAAAGAAAATACAGACAGAGCAAGACACACAGAGAGAGAGGGAGACAGAAATAATATCGACTAATCGGCGGACTATGATAAAAATTCTTCTAAAATTGTCAACTTCATTTTTTATTCTACATGGTATTCGTTTTTCTCTTTGCCTTACTACGTAAGGATGGCAAATCAATAGATGAAGTAGTGAAACTTCATCAGTTGAGGTGGTTGAGACATGTGTTACGTATGTCCAACCACCGACTGCCTCGACGAGCTTTGTTTTGTGTTATAGGAGTAGGTTGGAAGTAAGCTAGGGGCGGTCAAACCAAAACATGGCACGAATCCATTAAGTCACTGACAACTGGAGTGAGTCATGTTCGTAGATATAGACTACATACTTGAGGTCCGCGAGATTATAGTAATCTATGACTAGAGACCCTGAATGACATGGCTCAAAATCGTTTGCGTTGGCCAGGTGCATGCATTATTTGTGTTCACTTACATCTTAACCTTATAAATTTCTCGCGACCGCTTTATCTCGTTTTTATTAAATGGTTACCTCTGGGATATACTCCTCGGATGATATCTTCGAACCCTAATCTCTCCGATTACAGCTAATACTTCTACTACCTCTATTGTTATGGGATTTTAATTGTCAATTACATCTCTGTGCTTGTGTGGTATAGCAATCTGAACTGGTGTACGTACGTGAGAAGTTGTACGTTGTAAGTGACTGACTGAAATAGACAGGATATTATAGAAAAACTCCATATACATATATATAGAAATTAATGATTTGAGTTCAAATCGTATTTTTGACGATAATTCATGCATGACTCAGTAGATTGTACAATTTATTATTGTGTGGTGCGCCCTGCGTATAAGTAGTATATGACGTGAGTGTCAACGTAATGTCTGGCAGCAGAAGATGGGGGAGAATCAAGAAAGGAAGAGTTAGAAAACAATGGAATTTGTATGAAACGCATGAATAGTGAGTGACAATGGATTGATGTTTTGCAACAGGAACAGTCCAGTTCGATATGATGGACTGATATTTTGCAAATTAACGATTTACGATATGGTTTTCCGATTTTACTGAGTAACGCTGTAATTTCCGTTAAATACAATTCGGTTGCCCCACCTGTGTTCTCCTTCACTAAAATCGATCTGAAATATGATTGGTTTAAAGATGAGAATTTGCCCAATTTTATAGATTTTAAGTAGTATACATCATTCTGATATATATATTTTTTAAACATTCATTTGTTCAGTTTTTTTTAGTGTAACTATTCTGTTTTTTTTTTTATTTTATTAAATTTCAGTTAATTGGATGGAAATTGAATACAATTGGAATGAATCCTACTGCGGAATCATATTTATTAATGCATCGTTTTGGTCCAGTAAGTTAGTTAAATCAGTTCAGTTCAGTTCATATATATTTGAATGATTCAAAATTCTGTTTTTTTTGACGATATTAAATTAAATTCTTACTGTCACTTAATATTAAATCATTTATAAACATACAGAAATTGAATGGAATTAGGTACAATCACCATGCAACATGACTAAGTGTAGTTGGCATGATACCCTGCTTAACCTAAGTTTGATACTATTTGACCAATCCTTAACAAAACATGGTGGGAACTAATTAATATTTTCCTGTGAAATTCACACAAGCATCACTCAGCTTCAATATGTAAGATGTGATCACTAGACTATTCAGATTGTAACTAATTTTGTGGAGTACTTAAATAAAGACAATGAACTGATCATTGAGGTTAATCGTGTAGGAAGGAATCTTCACTGCTTCCAAGACTACTTTTGCATTATATAGATAAATCCCAGAATAGGATGAAACCTAGGTCTAAAGTTTCCTATCTACCATCTCTAAGAAATTAACAATGAATCTCGACTTATTCATTAGTACTAATCAATATTCTTCACGATAATGTGTTTGGATTGCTTAAAGTATGGGTCTCTCATTGACTTTACGTCTAATAACGTAGTTCCAATCTCGATAGCTCACAAAATAACTTGAAACATATAACTGAATCATTATAAAGAGTAACACCAGATTGCATTGTTTATTAAATACTTAGTATAAGAAATGTGACTAAATTAAGTGTAGTTACTATATTACTTACTTACTTACGCCTCTTACGCCCCCCCCCAACGGAGCATAGGCCGCTCACCAGTTTTCTCCAACCAACTCTGTCCTGGGCTTCACTCTCCAGTTCTGTTCAATGTTTGTTCATTCCTCTCATATCTTTCTCTATTTCTCGGCGTAGTGTGTTCTTTGGCCTTCCTCTTTTCCTTTTGCCTTGAGGGTTCCATGTGTTGGCTTGTCTCGTGACGCAGTTAGGTGCTTTCCGCAATGTGTGTCCTATACACTTCCACCGCTTCTTCCTAATTTCCTCCTCCACCGGAATCTGGTTTGTTCTCTCCCACACAGTACGTTGTCGCTGATGGTGTCTGGCCAATCAATCCGAAGTATTTTGCATAGACAATTGTTAATAAACATTTGTATCTTCTAGATGATGTATTTGGTAGTTCTCCAAGTTTCCGCTCCATACAGTAGAGTAGTTATTATATAATTGTAAATAATTAACTTTCACTAAATCAGTCTGTTCTAATTACCATGTTTCTCAGCTTTATTTGTCCTTCAATTCTTGTTGAGTTTTCAGTTATTTTTTCAACTAATGGACATGTGATTTAGTTGACTCTTTTGTATAAGTTATTAATTAGGTTTCTCATATAGATATGCCAACTGATTATCGATTGTCAGTAATGTTATTCTTCCCAAAAAAATTCTCCATTCACAAACAAGGTTATCGGAACAAACTGATTTAGTGAGTGTAAACTGACTAAACAGTTCAGCTGTAGGTGAAGTAATGATTATGTTATCTAAAACGACAATGAAAGCGTAACCACGTAAACTACATAGTCTACTGAGCATAACTAAAATTACTCCAAAGTTTTTTTCTGTTCATTGTATTCATCTAATCTGATTGTGCAAATGGGGTTCAACAACTTATGTCAGCACAAACGTATACCACATTTTGTGTCTAAGTTATAACTACTACACTTATCACTTTTCGTTTATGCTTTCAAAGTTTCTAAATGATGAATATTTTCTCAAAAATAAATCAGTATTCTCACAATTATCTCTACTCATCATGAATTCTATTACATACAAACTAAATGAAACTTTATAAAACCAAATTCCATACCACAGTGACTAACAAGAAGTACTGTATTCCTATCGGACATGGTTCTAATTATATCTTAACTCATTCAAATATTATTTATTCGACTTAGTCGATAATGGTTTCAACATATATATTTGAACAGCATAACACTTTATCATAACTGTACCTTTGTCTGTAACCTCTAATGAAGCATAGGCCGCCGATTAGCATTCTCCAACCTACTATGTCCTGGGCTTTCTTTTCCAATTCTACACAAATTCTGTTCATTCTTTTCATATCTGTCTCCATTTCTCAGTGTAATGCATGCTTTGGTTTTAAGTATTTCAGACGAGGGATTGTTTTGTGATACAGTTGTTTGCTTTCCTCAATATATGTCCTATCCACCTCCAGCAATTCTTCCTCATTTAATACTTCACTGTAATCTGGTTTACTCATTCCCACAGTATTTTTATGCTGATAGTATCTGGCCAAGGCAACCGAAGTAGTTCGCATAGACAATTGTTAATAAACAATTATATATCATGAGAATGATGGCTTTGGTAGTTAGTTTTACAAGTTTCCATCTCATACAGTAGTAGAATTGTCTTGACATTTGTGTTAAAAGTTCGAAAAATATATATATATATATATATTTAACTAATCATAATATATATCTATCTATTTGTATAAAATATTTAAGTGAAAATTTTTATAAACAGTTTAAATTTTATCATGAAAAAGGTCTATCTCTCATCTCATACATAATGACTACAAAAGTTACACAGGTAACATATTGAAAAAAATGTTGCGTAAATATATATATATACATATATATTGAAATTCATTAAAAACGTATAAACTGTAATTGTCTTCACTATAATAAACCATTATAGCTTGATTAAAACACGTGTAAACGGGCTTTCGTTTTCCATCGTAAACAATGTCCATTATTGATTATCGTTTTAGATAAGTGATGGAATTCATTGTAAGATACATCAGTGAAATATACTTGCTCCTTACTCTTATTTCATAGTTAATATTCAGACTAAAAGTTTTAAACTTAAATACCAGTCGCATTAAATTGTTGTTAATGAAGTTATTCAATTTGAGCCTTAGCAGTGTGATATATGGGTAGATCGATATGATATGTCATAAATTTCATTTCTAGTCACTAGAAAATTGTCAATGAATCCAGATATACTAAGAAAGACTACTTAATCATGAATGATAACATCAAGAAAATATGAGTGATTAAATACTATAATAAGGTATTTATGCATATATATATGTTTTTCAATTTGATTTATGGAGATCAGTGTTTCTATACGTTGAAATCATCAATCAATCAATCATTGTTAGACTACAATTATAAGACTGGGAGCATTGAACAGTATAGAACTCATCATTGGCAGTGTGCATTTAGGACTCCTGCACCTAGCACGATTCAAACCCGGGACCTTCGTACAATGTTCTCACTAGTGACTAGCTTTCTGGGGGAATTATCATAGTTTTAGTGAAAAGAAGTGACTCGCACAGTTCAGCCCTGTCAGGTGTAGGCTGTAACTACCGAAAACAAATGAGTGAGTTTGCGCAAAATCCTTAGATTGATCAGAGTTAGACATCATCACCATTGGGTGCCGGCCCAGTGGTCCAGAGATTAGACGTTCGTGAGCAAGACGGAAGACTTCGGGTTCGAACCCGGCCAGGTGCAGGAGTCGTGGATATACACTGATGATCAGTCGCATACTAGAGG